TTCAGATTTTGGGGGGGCGTGTGTAACATCACTCTGGCCTTTTGTGAGAGGAATGGATCTGAAAGCTACCATTTGGCAAACTGCCAGTTATCCCCAAATCTTTCTTCCCTTTTTCTGGGCACACGTTCACCCAGCTAGAGCCTCCATTTCCCATCCTCCTTGGTAGCCATGTGTAGAAGGAAATAAGGTCTTGCCGTACTGTGTGAGCATAAGCAGTGCAAGCAATTTACAAGCAATTTCCACTCCTTGTTTCAAAGGGGAGTGTCTGCCCCAGGCTGCCTCTGGTCTTTTCTGTGGGCTGGAACGTGGATGTGGCAGTGACCCAGCAGCCAAGATGATGAAACCAACACCCTAGGAATTGGCAGAGCAACAAGGAAGAAGCCACCTGGGCCCACGAAACCTGGGCACAGACCTGCTTACCACCTCTGCACTGTTACAGGAGAGAGAAACGAGAGGAACACACTAAGATCTTGTTTGAGACACTTATTTTGTGGTCTCTGTTGCAGCAGCTTAGTCTTTATCCTAACTAACACTAGTTAGGATATTAGTTAAAAATTCTTTGGTTGTAAGCAACAGAAACTCACCCAGGCTAACAAGCAAAAATAAATAAATAAATAAAGCAATATATTGGAAGGCTATGCCCAGAATCAAAACCTAAAGAACCTGGTGGCTTCAAGACAAAAATTAATATGTAGTCTCTTGTGGTCTTGCCAAAGGAGTGAATAACTCCAGTCATTTTCAGTCTGTATTATACTTTGCTCAAAATTGAAACTCCTAGAACAGAGAATCTGAATGTCTAGCAGAGATTACATGCTCACCCCTGGCCCAGATGAGAGGGGATGCAAGGAGTGGAGAACACCTTATTTGATACTCTAAGGTTGTGTCTAATGGAGCTGGATGGTTCCCCCGCAAAAGTAGGAATGGATGTCTACCCCAGGAGACCTGCTAGGAGGCTACTGCAGAAGTCCAGGCAAGCATGAATGCTGTCTTGGATGAGGATAGTAGTAATGATGATAGAACAAAATAGGTAAATGTAAGATATATTAATAAAGAGGTAGACTCAAAAGAACGTAATGCATATTTACAGTATACTGAATATCTGTTTTATAACACAAGTAACTTCTGAACTATAAAACCCCAAACCAAGATCACATTTACTAGAATTTCCAGTTCCAATAATGGTGGAGTAGCTTATATCAAATTAACCCTATGGCATGTAAAATATATATATTTTGAACAAAATACCAAAAAAAATTATTTGTAACTGTTTTTGTTTTAAAGAATGAGGTAGCTATAGACAGGCTGACATGAGATGATATCTATTCTATTTATTGAGAAAATCTAATTGCAGAGCCATATAAATAGTATGATAACATGATAACACTTAGATGTGTGTGTGTTTATGTGCATCAGAGAGAGAGAATGAGAATGCGAGAATGCATGAATAAAGTCAGCAAGAAATATATTGGCCAGGCAGGGAGGAAGGGGAAACACGGCTGCTAATTATTGTCAACTGAGGAGGAATAAAAGCTCAAATACATTTTTTAAAAAATCTGTGTCATACACTGAGAGTCTAGAAGTCTTCTTGCTAACTTGAAGAAGAATCATAGCCACAGGGAAAAGCTCTTATAAAAATATTTCTAGAGACCACAGGCTGAAACTCAACCTACCTGCTACTTAAACTGCCTTCGTCCCAACTCATCCCTTCCAGACTTTCTGACATGCCATCCTTCAGCAAATAGCTAGTCTAGCAAGAATCCCCAGGGCCCCATTTACAAATGAGTGATAATTTTTAAAAGAGTCACTATCTGACTTATGCAAAGAAAATATAAGGGGAAAAAAAGGAAAGAAAAATGTCAAATAAAAGGCAGATGAAGATGACACTAAAAAAAAACCAAAAGCAAGAAAAATTTATGACCATCATTTTTCCATGAAATCAAAAATTTAAAGAAAATGTAATCTCTATGAAACTAGATCCCAAAGAAAAGATACAAGAGTTTAAGGACAAAATGAAAAGACAATAAAAGAAGATTAAAAAAAAAAAATCTGGTAGAACTCAGGAGAAAAGTGTAAGAGAGTTTCCTCTCTAAGAAAACATGTAGTAGCAGATGACATTGGTGTAGCAGGAAGGCCTGAAGCCCTCAGGGCCCTGGAATGGGAGGCTGTGGTGGCTTTCATGGACTGTGGTCAGGGCCAGGGCCGAGGCCGCAAAGGTCCAGGAGGCAAGGTCAAGGACAAGGAGTGAATGCCTGGGTCACCAAGCTGGGCTGCCTGGTCAGGGACATGGAGATCAAGTCCCTGGAGGAGATCTATCTCTTCTCCCTGCCCATTGAGGAGTCTGAGATCATTGACGTTTTCCTGGGGGCATCTCTCAAGGATAAGGTTGTAAAGATTATGGTGATGCAAAAGCAGACCTGCCCTGGCCAGTGGACCAGGTTCAAAACGTTTGTTGCCACTAGGGATGACAATGGCCATGTTGGTTTGGGTGTTAAGTGCTTCAAGGAGGTAGCCACTGCCATCCAAGGGGCCATGATCCTGGCCAAGCTTTCCATTGTCCCCACGCAGAGAGGCTACTGGAGGAACAAGATCAACAAGCCCCTCACCGTTCCTTGCAAGGTGACAAGCAGTTACAGCTCTGTGTTGATATGTCTCATCCCTGCCCCTAGAGGAACTGGCATCATCTCAGCCCCTGTGCCCAAGAAGCTGCTGACGATGGCCGGTATTGATGCCTACCACATCTCAGCCAGGGGCTACACTGCCACCCTGGGCAACCTCACCAAGGCCACTTTTGAGGCCATCTCCAAGACCTATAGCTATCTGACCCCTGGCCTCTGGAAAGAGACTGTATTCACCAATTCTCACTATCAGAATTCACTGACCATCTTGTCAAGACCCACACCAGAGTCTCTGTGCAGAGGTCCCAGGCTCCAGCTGTGGCTACAACATAGCATTTTTATACAAGAAAAATAAAGTAAATTAAGCCTATCTTTAAAAAAAAAAATTATGAGAGAAAAGAGAAAAACTAACACAAAAATAAAAGTCACATTAGAACCACCAAAAAAAAAAAAAAGAGAGAATTGGTATTACTGAAAATTAGTATTTATAGATATGTAGAACTGCCTTAAGAAAACTGAACAAAATTAAATGGAAAAGAAAAAAATATTAAAAGTATTAGAGAGAAAATAGTAGATGAGGAAGATAAGGAGAGCTAATGGTGCTGTCTCTGAGGAAACGTACAGAACAGGAAAAAAAAGTAAAGATAAAATGCAAGAAAAGAGGAGATCTACAGATTGACAAAGCACCAAGTAATAAAAATTGCTGAATAACAACAATAATGAAAAAATCCTGTGGGCAAGAAGTGAGAGAAAAAAATGATATCACATCTACAGGGGAAAATATCACTCTGTTCTTAGACTGCTCCATAGCAACAGTCAATGGTAAGAAACAGTGATATGAGGTCTACAGATTCCTCAGGGAAACATAAAAGCAAGAGACATTTTCAAACATGTACATACTCAGGAATGTTATTCCCATTAATACTTTTTGAAGAAATTACTAAAATTCTAGTCAATCAAGAAAATAGTTGACAAGTTATAGTAAAAGAACTGGGAATGAACAACAAATAAGATTAAACAAGTATGAGCATCACAATTTTTTATGTGTATATAAATGTTATAATATTATAGAAATCACAATAACAAAAATTAGATAAAGAGAGAAGGTACAGGGATCAATATACACTTTTTAAAGGTACACGAATAACTCCTTTGAGTTTAACCTTTAATGTATCGAGGCGGAACCTTAAATACATACTGCTAAATGAAAGAAAGCAATCTGAAAAGGCTATGTACTGTATGATTCCAACTATAGAACATTCTGGAAAAGGAAAAACTATGGAAATGATAAGAAGATAAGTGATCCCTAGGGCCTCCACGAGAGAGGAAGGGATGAATAGGTGGAGCACAGGGGATTTTTAAGGCAGTGAAACTATTACTCTGTTTGATAATATAATGGTGGATACTGGCTATTATTTGACATTTGACAAAACCCATAGAATGATAGAATGTACAACACAAAGAGTGAACCCCAATGTAAACTATGGACTTTAGTTAATAATAATGTGCCAATATTCGTTTATCAATTGTAACTAATGTAAGATGTTAAAATTAGGGGAATGAGGGGGATAAGGGAATATACAAGGACTCTCTGTACTTTTCCTTCAATTTTTTCTATAACCCTAAACTGCTCAAAGAAAATAATAAAGTCCATCAATTTTTTAAATAACCTTATAGAGAAACTATAGGATGGCATTTAAGGAGAAATAAGTGTATTTAACGATCTGTTACAAAAACTAAAAAGTTGTGCAAAAGACCTGAAAGAGATATACTAATGGTCTGTAAGCCCATGAAAATATGCTTATCCTCATTAATCATCAAGACATTGCAAAATTAAAATCACAGCAAGAAACCACTGCACACCTACTAAAATGGCTGAAATTAAAAAGCCTGAGAATACCAAGTATTAAGGAGGATATGGAGCATCTGGAACTCTTATACGTTGCTCATGGGTGTGTAAAATGGCACAACCACTTTGGAAAATGATTCTGCTAAAAAATTAAGCACATCCACCTACTATATGACCCAGCCATTTCACTCTTAGGTATTTATTTTACAGAAATAAAAACCTATGTCCACAAAGAGATTTGTACGTGAATCTCTGTATCAGCTTTATTCATAATAACCCAAATGTCCACCTCAGATCATATAGATAAAAAAATGTTGGTATATCCAGTCAATGGAATGTTGCTCAGAAGTAAGAAAGAACAAGCCAATTATGCACACAACATGAATAAATCTCAAAACATTGAGCTAAGTGAAAGAATCAGACAAAAAAAGAGTAAAATTCCATTTATATGAATTTCTGAAACAAGCAAAGCTAGTCTATCATACATAAAGCAGGTTAGGGGTTGCTTGAAGCTGGAGTAGAGAGGGGATTGATCATAAAAGGGAATAGGGAACTTTGGGGGGTAATGAAATGATCTTAATGTTATTGGGGTTGTGGTTACACAAATGTATACATTTGTCAAAATTCATTCAACTCTACA